TGTAACATGTAGATCAAGATACATAATTGTAGGGCGAATTATTGGAATCGAAGCAACTTTTCATTTTTATTTTTCATTTCATAATCTAGATGCTAGGCTCACGCAGTATATTCATCAACTGCTTCAAGCTAGCAAAGAAGACTTCTTCATTTCTTTGACGATAGGGATCTCCTTGACGCGAGCGGCACCGCCACCCTCAACAATGGCTATACTTTCTCTCAAAACACTGGCACCTCCTCCGTAAACAGGAGGGTTGATGGGCTCGACATCATTATCCTCATCCTCCTGGTCCTCGTTCGCTGTATTGGGGGCAGGGACTTCAAATACCTCGTCCCGGCAATCCGCGCACATAGCCAAGACTTCCTGCAATGCCTTCTCGACAGCAGCTGCACGCTCACGCATGCCACGACGCAGCAGGGCATCGACAAGGATCTCAGCTTCTGCTACGCTCGAGTTAACCCGTTCAATGAGTCGTCGAATACTGTTGACAAGATATTCCTCTTCATAAACGGTGCCCTTCTTACCACGAGCACGCTTGCGTTCCTCGCGCCGGCGGGTCTTCGAGGTATGACGTGTCATTCCAGTTTTGCCTGTTTTCCCGGTGTTACCCGTGTAACGCGTGAACATGGAGCGACCGGCAAGCGTAGATGCATCTGTCGGGGCCAGCGAGACGTTGTCAGGGATATCGACGCCCGCCTCTCCACCGGCGGGGTCACCACCGTAGAAAGCAAGCGGGTCGGTAGCGCGAAGCTGACGGAGTTCGTTGAGTCGTGGGACCTGGGCATTGAGCTGAGATCTGCAGTCGGCAAGCAGGTCGGTCATGTTGCCCATTGCTTCCGCGAGGCCAGAGTCAACGATTTCGACAACCATGCTCTGTTTACCGTGTAGTGTAAGGAGACGTGCTGCGTCGGCGAACTTCGATCCCCTGCAGAGAAGTCGTGCGGCTGTCACGATGTCATGCAAATGGTCGGCGTAGATTGTTGCTGCCGCGACGTAGTCCTTGTTTTCGTCAACTAGGGTTGTGACCAGACCGTCGATGTGAGCAGCTAGATCTTCCTCGGATAGAGATGCCATCATGGCGCAGTACAATGACTCGCGCCATTTGTGCGCCAGATTGAAGCACTTGTAAGCACTTTCATAAAGCTCGAGAGACTCGTACGCTGGGGTTGAAAATTAGCTAGCTGTCATTTTGTCGCGCTGATTAAACCACTGACCAATTGCTGCGTCTTTGTACTTCGATTGACTTTGTAGATAATCGGCATAGAGCTCGGTGATTTCCCGTTGTTGCTCTGCTTGGTACTTGTAGAGCTCAAGGGCTTCCTTATACAACACATGCTTGACGACATATGCGCTGATCTCATCGTGAGCATTGAGAGCATACAAATGCACCAAAGCCTTTTCGAAGCGAGAAAGGTGATTGTCGATCTCAAATTTCCTTCGAGTCTCTGGGAGCTGCTGTAGCTTACGAAGGAATGGTAGGTATTCGCGAGGATCCTGAGAATTCGTTAGTGTTGAGTAATAACACAGCCAACGACTTCATCCGAAAGTCTTACCATCTGAGCTTGTTGAGCAACCAACAATGTAAGCTCAAGATCATATACACCCAATGCGTGAGAGTAAAGCCGGTGAGCATCGGTTAAGAAACACATGTGCGCAATAGCATCTTCAGCTTGCTCGGGATGTTGTACTGTGATATGGTTAGTTCTTGATTATCGAGAAGGACAAAGAACCGAGTACTTACTTCTTAGTCCTGCAGCAAGTCCCAGTCCTGCCTCCATGTCAGGCGGTGATTTGCAAACATGCGCCGTGATCAGATTCTGCAAATTGGTATCTACACGGTTTTGGAGAGCGGCTAGGAATGCACCACATATTTTGTTGATTTTGCTCTCCTTTTTGCCATTTTTGGGCACCGAGGGAACTGCTGGTCCATCCGGCTGGGCGACAGCTGCCGATACGTTCTTGGATATTTTCAGCGTGTCTTTGTACAGTGTCTGTGACACATCGTCCTCCCTATGTGAACGTTAGTAAAATAGTTTCTTATAAGACTGGATATTGACGTACGACAGGCGTGATAGGAAATCATCAATAAACTCAATCTTCTTGACTTGATCAATAAACAGAGTGATGTTTTCCATGAATTGTTCAGGAGCGTAATCATGGAGAATGTTTAGATCCACCATTTGACTGCGACATGCAAGGAAGGCAGACCGGTATTTCTTCTGGTCAATGAAGGTACGGATTCCAGCCAATACTAGAGCGCGAGGGAAGATGGTCTCAATGTTCCCTCGAGGAGCTTGAAGTACGACTGCGAAAATCGACGGTATCACCGAAACCAACCGAGAGCCACGTTCAATACTTCTGCACCGTTCATCGGTTTCTGGTGTATCCTCGGGAACTTCCATTTCTGCAATCCCTATGTTAGCTTATGAAGACTTAGACGTCCAAGAAATCAATCTTACCATCAACGTGGTTCAAATGAACAAACTTCAGAAGATGTGCCGATGTGGTGAATAGAAGATGAGATGGGGTCACGAGGAAGGACGTGCAGTTCCTCGCAAGGACTCGCTTGTTAGCATACAAGGTGCCAGTTCTCGTCATTGCAATCAAAACGCGCTATCGAAATCAGCACAAAGCTCCAAATAAAAAGCGAATATAGACTTACCTCATGCTCAGAGATAGAGACAACACGGGCCCAATGGCTGTCAACATTGGGGCTCTCACCCCATGAAGCAATATCAAGATTTCCCGATGAAGATTCTTCAACACTCGAATAGCTGACAGGATGGGCTGGTTGGCGGGCATGTGAGAACCACAGAGCTTGGTGTCCAATACCGGCGAAGATCGATGCCAGTTGCTCGGAGTCTACAGCCTGATATACAGACTCGGTGGTTCGGGTGTCTAGCATCGTCCTCTCGATATGGCTTGAGTTCGGTCCATTGTCCTTGAGAACATATACCTCATTCTCATTCAAGAATGCAATCTGCCGGGGTCGACTGGCTGGGGCATCTGATAACGGGTAGCTTGACTCGAGGATAGGAACAGGAACGGGTCGGCTCTTCAGAGACCAGAGATAAACGGAGAGTGTGTTGCTCGTCAGGACAGCAATACGGGATCCGGATTTACTGAATGCAACATCAATGGCTTTGGACTCTAAAGTCAGCTCGTTGTGAGCCATGGGAGGCGGTACTCCAGCCATTCGCAACGGGGTCAATTTGAGAGTTTCTAATAGGTGAATCAGTAATGTTTCAAATCAGGTCTGACTGGATACTTACTCCCGTCGATGACTGCAACAGCGCCAACATCATCCGGAATGGAGGTAGATCCATGGTTGATATCAAACACATAATCCGCGTCCAGTATCGAGACTGTTTAGATCAGCTTTTATTCTTGCTCTGTTCTTCATGCAAGGATAGCATACCTGAGGAGCCAGCGACCAATCGCAATGTCTTCTCTTGATGCCATTCGAAAGAATATGGAAGCGAAGAATTTGTATCAACAGTGATAGGGATCTCTTGCTTCAAATACCAATGGTAGTTGCCCGTTGTCCAGAACTGTACACGGTCCTGGAACTTGACAGCAAGTACAGTAGAATCAACATTCCAAGAAAGGTGGATGCGAGAAGCCCATGATTTCATCTCCTCATCGGACAGACGAAGAGAGAACTCGCCGTGGCGGAGTCCGTTTTTCTCGAAGAACACCACATCGACCCGATTTTCGAGTCGTTGAATTCCAGCAATCAAGCTGCCAGATGGCCGCCAGCTCAATGCGCCTTCCAAACCGTCAACAGGTTCGCTCACACTCTCCAAAGTGCCCTCTCTCGAGTACACCCTGATCACACGGCGAGTATCTGCTTCGATGCTGTTCACAGCAACATACGCCCCATCCCCTCGCCAGCTGATTGTAGTGCTACCATCATCTTGACTACTCAAAATTCCTTGGTCGATCTTTTCCGGTACAGTCGGGTCTCGAAGAGCTTTGGCTCTCTTTCCTTGAAACTGAGTTTCTTTTTTACCCCATCCCACTGACACATGCTGTGATGATTGCAGGTCACTGTGGGCGAAAGTAATATCGGCCACATTCTCAAAGTCTCTGGTCATATACAAGAACGTCTGGGCTCTGGTGGTGAGAGCCAGCATTTCCTCATCTGGTGACCATGCTGCAGCCGTGATTCCCACATCGACTGAGCCGACGATTTCAATCTTGTCTTCGCCGGCAAGTGACTCTTCGCGAACAACGATAATATCACCTCCTTCCAACACCAGACAGGTTGTCAGGTTATCCGCAAAGTAATGCAGGGCGAGTACACGATCACATGCCAGGTCCGGCAGCGGGCACGGAGCATCCCAGGAAGCAATACACTCAAAAGCCTCGGGAGACAGTGGATCTGTTGAAGTGATCTCGGGGCGTTTTCGTCTAACCTCAATGATTGCATTGTTCTCGGCCGGACCAAAGGTGCACACCACCGAGTCTGAAGCAGTATCCCATGCTGTAGCTGTGAGAGGCAGTTCGCTCTCAATTTCCGTCTCAGCGAGACGGATACTTCTTAAATTGCGCATCTTCCAGGAACGGGTAAGTTTTTTATGCTTCTTTTTTTACCCCGCCATGAAGCGATCAAGGGAGTAAATGTATGGAATTTAAACAATAGCGAGGAAAGTTAAGTTTCAGAGACCAGCTTTCTTCTTCGTTGACAGTAACTGTCACGTTGTTTGCGAGTGGTTGTGTTCGTGAGTACTGATATATGAATCGCGCCGACCAAGAGATTTTTTTGGTTTTCCACAGCGGCTCAGCCAATGACTTCATCCATATTTCAACGTCCTTTTAAGCTACACATTTCGACATCTACACAATTACAATGGGGTCGGTAACAGGCGGAACCAATTTTCCGTAATAATCTCTAGCTTTGTACATGGTATCCGCCTCTGCTTCAACCCCGATCCAAGATTTCAACCACCTAGTTGCCCAGACTGCTATCGCAAGAAAAGTACAGTGCAAAGGGCAATTTATTTGGTCTTGTAGGTTTGCCAGACTAGTAGAAAGAGATGTTAGAGTATGCTTAAGGCTTAGAATCGTAGAGAGGGGGTATAGCTCACCGGCAATGGCGAAGGGAGCACCGAATCCGGCAACTAGATGATGTCCGAGTTAGTCATGGCACTGCGCATATGTAAGTTGGGGACCACTAACTCATGAAGCTCCAGTAGCGCAAGAAGAAGTACTTGGTGAGCGGGTTGAAGGGGATGTTGGAGCGAGGACCCTCGGCGTAGTGGTAGGGGCTAGCAAGCTGGGTGCGAGTGGTGGAGAAGCCACGACGGGCAGCGAAGGAGGTGGCCATTCTGGCCCGGATAGCGGAGGAGTACATCTGAAATTCAAGCGTCGGCGAGAGGAATGGTTGTATTTCCGGTGGGGGGTACTAACCTTGAGTTACAGAGAGGAGAGGGTAGACGATCGGAAAGGTACGGACGAAGCCGAAGGGAACATCTCGAGGTGCGGAATGGGATGATCGCTAATCACGTGATTTGACTTCATTCAATCGGGTTTAGCGTCTTCTGCTCGGGATCGCCCCCACCGCTTGCCCCATATGGATGGAACTTTTAAATTTCTCAACCAGAAAAAGTCCAGGCCGGTTACCTACGCCGCTCATTCTCCTCCTGTGGTTGATTCACCAATCCCAACCGCTGGAGATGGATGAGCTCTTTGATGTCTTTGAGGACCAACCTCAGGCGGTAAAACCGTCAGAGGATGCCCCCAAGCGCTTGAAGAAGGATAAGAACAAAAAAAGACAGGTGAATGGAGCTGTGAAGAAAACTGCAGATGCCGAGCCTGAACAGAAAGAGGATGTTGCGATGTCCGATGCACCTGCTGCGGAAATTGACTCAGCAGAAGCCGAGCCCCCTGCGACCCCGTCCGAACTAGAGCAACCTGAGACGAAGCGACCTCGATTGGATCAGGAACCCGAGCCAATCGTCGCCGATTCTTTCGAAACCGAGCAAGAGCGCGAAATCACAGCCTCTGCAGGACTTTCAGGTGCTGCAGGCACTTCTTCTCTTGTGGTGTCTCATCAAGTGCGCCATCAAGTCGCAATCCCGCCAAACTACCCTTATGTGCCTATTTCTCAGCATAAGCCTCCGGCGAACCCCGCAAAGACATGGCCCTTCACACTCGATCCTTTCCAGCAGGTCGCAGTTTCTTCAATCCAGCGGGAGGAGAGTGTGCTGGTATCAGCTCATACCAGTGCTGGAAAGACCGTGGTGGCAGAATATGCGATTGCGCAAAGTTTGAAACAAAACCAGCGAGTTATCTACACCAGTCCCATCAAGGCGCTCAGCAATCAGAAGTACCGTGAATTCGCTGCGGAGTTCGGCGATGTCGGTCTGATGACCGGTGATGTGACCATCAACCCCACTGCCACATGTCTTGTTATGACCACAGAGATTCTTCGCTCCATGTTGTACCGTGGTTCTGAGATTATGCGTGAAGTTCAGTGGGTAATTTTTGATGAAATTCACTACATGCGAGACCTGAATCGTGGTGTTGTTTGGGAAGAGACTATCATTTTGTTACCCGATAAAGTCCGCTATGTTTTCCTGTCCGCCACCATCCCGAATGCCATGCAATTTGCCGAATGGATCGTGAAGATGCATAACCAGCCCTGTCACGTTGTGTACACCAACTATCGTCCGACTCCACTCCAGAATTACTTCTTCCCCGCTGGTGGAGAGGGTATCCATCTCATCGTGGATGAAAAGGGAGTTTTCCGCGAGGAGAATTTCCAGAAAGCAATGAGCGCGATTTCGGACAAGAAAGGAGATGACCCGGCTGACGCTTTAGCCAAACGCAAGGGCAGGGGCAAGGATAAGCAAATCAACAAGGGTGGAAACAAGGGCCCATCTGATATCTTCAAGATCGTCAGGATGATCATGCTCAAGAACTACAACCCCGTCATTGTCTTCAGCTTCAGCAAGCGGGAGTGTGAAGCAGGTGCTTTACAGATGAGCAAACTAACTTTCAACGATGATTCCGAAAAAAATATGGTGTCCAAAGTCTTCGAAAGCGCCATCGAGATGTTGTCTCCAGAGGATCGTCAATTGCCACAGATCCAAAATATCCTTCCACTTTTGCAACAGGGTATTGGTGTCCATCACTCAGGATTGCTGCCAATTCTTAAGGAAACCATTGAGATTCTGTTCCAGGAGGGTCTCATCAAAGTCCTGTTTGCAACCGAGACTTTCTCCATTGGTCTCAACATGCCTGCAAAGACTGTAGTCTTCACCAGTGTCCGCAAATTCGACGGAACTAGCCAACGCTGGGTTACCCCATCTGAATTCATTCAGATGTCTGGTCGGGCTGGTCGTCGAGGTCTCGATGACCGAGGTATTGTGATCATGATGGTCGGAGAGGAGATGGACCCAGCAGTCGCCAAGGAGATCGTGCGTGGTGAACAGGATCGACTCAATTCCGCATTCCATCTTGGCTACAACATGATTCTCAATTTGATGCGTGTGGAGGGTATCTCGCCCGAATACATGCTTGAACGATGCTTCAAGCAGTTCCAGAATACTGGAAGTGTTTCAGGTATGGAGAAGGAGCTTCATAGTCTCGAGGAGAAGCGCGCCAATATGATCATCTCAGACGAGGGGACCATCCGCGAATACTACGACCTACGGAAACAACTGGATGCATTTGCCGACGATGTTCAGCATGTCATTACCCACCCCAATTATTCTTTGAATTTCATTCACCCTGGACGATTGATCCATGTAAAGTACAAGGATGCTGATTTCGGCTGGGGCGTGGTGATCAACCAGAAGAAGCGGAAGCAAGCGAACAATGACAGCGAGAAATTGAGTCCTCACCAATCTTACATCGTTGATGTCTTGGTGAGAATAACGGAAGGGTCATCCATTGGGACCAAGTCTTTCCAAGATCTTCCGGCGGGTGTTCACCCTCCAAAGGAAGGGGAACCCTCTCGCAGTGAGGTAGTGCCAATTGTGCTGAGCTGCATCAAGGAAATTTCTCACATTCGCGTCATGCTTCCCAATGATATCACGTCGCCTGGCTCTCGGAATGATGTTATGAAATCTATTGATGAAGTTAAGAGGCGGTTCCCAGATGGTATTCCGCTGCTTGATCCGATTGAGAATATGCAGATCAAGGATGAAAGCTTCAAGAAGCTACTGCGGGTAAGAGGGGATTTTGTTGCTCTAAGACATGATTCACGTTGCTAACCATATGACAGAAAATCGAGGTTCTTGAGTCTCGCCTTCTGAGTAATCCTTTGCACAATTCGCCTCGGTTGACTGAATTATACGAGCAATATGCCGCAAAGGTGGAACTGACTGCAAAGATGAAGGCGATAAAGAAGGAAATTACAGAGGCCATGTCGGTTTTGCAGCTTGATGAGCTGAAGAATCGCAAGCGTGTGCTCCGTCGTTTTGGATTTATCAACGAAGCCGAAGTCGTGCAGTTAAAGGCTCGTGTTGCATGTGAGATTAGTACAGGTGACGAACTGATGCTGAGCGAGTTGCTGTTCAATGGTTTCTTTAACAACTTGACTGCTGAGCAAGTCGCTTCCGTCATGAGTTGTTTCGTGTTCGAAGAAAAGGTCAAGGACGCCCCTACTATGAACAACGATGAGTTGGCGAAGCCACTGAAGGAGATCCAATCACAGGCCCGCATCATTGCCAAGGTGTCGCAGGAGTCTAAGATGGCCGTGAACGAGGATGAGTACGTTCAGAGCTTCCACTGGGAGCTGATGGAGGTGGTCTACGAGTGGACTCAGGGCAAGTCTTTCGCAGATATCTGGTAAGCATCCCCCTCTTTCAATTATTTTAGCAGTATACTAACTATCCTAGTAAAATGACCGATGTTTATGAGGGTAGCTTGATCCGTGTCTTCCGTCGATTGGAAGAGTGTTTACGGCAGATGGCGCAAGCTGCCAAGGTGATGGGCAGCGAGGACCTGGAGAGCAAGTTCGAGGAGGCCCTGGGCAAGGTCCGCCGTGACATTGTTGCTGCCCAGTCCCTGTACTTGTAGAAACGATATCCCTTTTATGACCGCTGGAGTCCAAAGAATAGGATTACCCACAATTTTCTTTTTAGTCTTTTTCTATTACGTATAACGTAGATGTAGATGATGCGGGTATTCGTATAGCACCCGAAAACAGTGGACATCCGATGACAGCAAAGAGAACGATATAAGACATTTAGTTTCTTATAAGAATCATTCAAAAATATACGAAGCCCTTCTCCAGTCCACGTCAAATCTCTTTCAAGGGCACAGATCTCCAAAAGCTGCGCAAAGGGAGTGCGTTGCCACCTGCAACGGCCTACTTTTTCTCCACCGCTACCTTTCTCTGCCCTTCTCTCCCCACCTCAAAACCCATTACATATCCTCTTCTTCTTCAAGGTTGCCTATTGCTGTTTCTTTTTCACTCCTTTGGATATCCGAGTCCTTTGGACCGTCTTATTTATTCTTTGCCATCTGGCTGTCACCATGAACAGCTTGGTGGCCACACCTCCTGTTCCTCCTCACTTCTACGAGAACTCCCGATTCTCTCCTTCCCGTATGAGTAAGATATCCCTTCCCCTTGGAATGATTTGTTTTCTCTGTCCGGTTTAGAGGTGGTTCTTCTTTGATGCATTCGTGTACTGACAGAACGGCCAGTGTCTACACCCTCTTCGTCGTATGCCAGTCGTAAACGGAAAGCCGACGACGACAATGATCATGATGGACGCATGTCTGCTTCGCCTACAAACTCTCCCGCCGCCACTCCTCGACAACTACCTCACAGCTACCGTAACATCAAACGTTCCCGACCGAACGTTTCAGGCCGACCTCTATCTCTGCCCCGTCTGCTAGAGACCCTCGATACAGATGCCTTGCGGACTGTTGTACGGACCATGTGCGAGCGTCACCCTCAACTCGTCGATGAGGTTGTGCACACATCCCCACGTCCGAATGTATCCTCAACTCTCCAAGTCCTTCGGAACTATCAGGCCGCCCTCCAGTCGTCATTCCCGTTGGGTGGCAACACCGAATCGGACTACGCATACAATCGAGTCCGACAGCCGCTCACCAACCTTCTTGACGCCTTGAGTGACTTCACACCTAACTTCCTTCCCCCAAACGAATCACAAGCATCCACATCCCTGAGCTACCTAGATGGGGCAACTGACATCATTCATGCCTTGCCTCGCTGGAGCACGCCACAGAACAACATTGAACGAGACTCAGCTTATGACGAGATGTGCAAGGCATGGATTTTGGTCATCCGGGAAGCGGCAAAAAGAGGTGGTGGCATCCAATTGCAATATGGAGGTTGGGATCAAAAGT